TGTTTTGTTTTGATCTCTCCGCTGCGTTTCCGCGTGCGTCACTTCTGAGCGGCGCATGCGCAAAGCCCACCTCATACGTCATTCCCCCGGAACTGCTTCGTTTACAACAGTGTGAGTGTAAGCTAGATTAAAGTGATTATTACATTTTGAATATGGATATTTTTCATACAAAAACGCATCGATTCGCTACAGGAGCCCTTTGTTCACCCCCGGAGCCGTGTGAGACACTTTTTTTATGGATGGGCACCTTTTATTCCACTTCTTTTGGACTCATGCACTGCAACACCCGCTGAGTGGCATTCAACAGCTTGAAAGATCAAAAACAATTTTTAATATAACTCCGACTGGATTCGTCTGAAAGAAGAAAGTCATATACACCTAGGATGCCTTGGGGGTGAGTAATTTATGGGCTAATTTTCATTTTTGGGTGAACTAACCCTTTAAACAATCAATAATAATAATAATAATAATAATAATAATTTAGTTTTTAATATATATTGTTTATTATTTTAACACACATATATATATATATATTTCATTGTATATTCTTTTTTATATTTACTTTACAAATAGGTGCATGACACCCCTGAGTTCAATCATTTTCATGTTGCCTTTTTAAAAACACATCACCTGCTGTTGTGCAGTATTTTGCTTACTGAACAAACCCATTCACAATGAGTGACATAAACAGAGTTCAGATAGATCATAATATGGAGAAGCACTGGGCTGCCCTGCTGAACGACAAGAGAGAAACCAACGACTGTGATTGAGCTTTTAAGTCCTCGTTCGCAATGTGTACTAAACAACATGTTGAGATCCATCACACTGATTAACTGTCAATTGCATCCCAAAATGAGTTCGCATTAGGAAACAGTTGATTTGGTTGCTCTCCTGTCTGGGGCTGTTACATGGAAAACGCATGGGAGGTTAGTGTTGCCATGGTTCCCTTGAACCTGTTTCGTTTAAGTCTGGTTTAGCATTAATTCTGCCTATCACAAAAATGCTATTTTCAGAACATTTACTGCTGTCAACACCAGCTGCGGCTGAGCTAGCTTTAACTGCAGATGACGTGCATTGCTTTCAATGGGTTAAAAAGGAGCTGACAGCATTTTGGGAGATGCAAAGGGGCAAAGTTTTAGGACAGCACACCACAGACTGAAGACACAGGAAGCAGGAGCAACAGCCAAGACAGACACACAAACGTAGACACACACAAAACCAATGATGGATTGCAGGGTTGTGGCAGGCGTTGCTTTCATTTGGCCAGAGGAACAGGAAACTATTCTTCTATATAGTGAAGGCATGACCTTATAGGCTGCCACTGGAACTTAGAGGCCTGTATGTGCGTTGGGCCAAATCGAATCTGTCTCGACGAGACAGTGAAAGGTCTGCGGGGATCTGAAGAGTGGAAATATTTACAAAAGCTGTCTTCCCTTTACATATATTAGTGCTGCGCCTCACATATACAGACATGCACACACATATACACGCATACCGTGAGCAAAGCGAGACAGAGATGGAGGGTTTGCCGACCTGGATAGGTATAAATAGCTTTGTGGAGAGTTTTGCATGGCTGAAATTGTTCTCCGCTCATTAATCATTCAAGTAGGTATGCCAGCGTTTCGGACAAAAATGCTGTTGTTACAGGTAAGCATGAGATACACAGCCACCTTTTTTGTTTTAATTTGGAGAGTGCTGAGAGATTTAGACAGGATTGCGCGGCAGTATCCTCACACGACGGCTCAGCACAATCACAATCCAATCCTTCCACCAAAAGGGATTTATAGAGGTTGGGAATGTTATGATGGTGAATCCAGGATGGATTTAAGTTTGCGTGTGGCTGTGGGTGAGGCCCATTCAAATGGTGTTCCAAATGGAGGGCTCACACACAGAACAAAATGTTTAAAAAAAAAAAAGGATTAAAATTGTTCCAGCCTCTGTCTGGCACAGATCAGGGCTCTCAAATGGCCAAAGCCAAGTGCTTTTCAATAGCACGCCACTATCAGCGGTATTAACAATCAACAGGCAGAGCCACATGCCCAGTCATCCAATCAGATTGTGAAAATCTGTGCAAATGGTGACTCTGATCACAGCACTAAGTGAACAGAAACAGGGATGCACGGAATATTACATTCAAATAAAGAAATATAAACAGTAAAAATAAAATTATTAAAATAAAAAGTAAACAATAAAAAATAAATAAAATACATTAAAATAAGCTCAATATTATTTCCATGTTATCAATACCTCAAATTTCATACTATTTTGTCTAAATCATTAAAAAAAAAAAAAAAAACACTAGGTACTAAATTAAAGCTTTAAATGCTAAGTTAATTTAGGCATCAAAACATTGAAATATACAGTATAAAATGGATATTTATTTTGAGATTTGTTAAAGATTACAATTAGCAGTGTTAATAATTCATTAGTGTTTTTAAATGACAAAACCTAGTGAAAAATAAATATACTAAAATGTATTTGAAATACATTTACGTATTTTATTCTAAGTATACTACAAATACAGTACATTTACATATTTATGTACTTAATAAAAAAACCTGCAATTTTACTTTTAGTATACTGCACTGGTATAATTAAAGTCTGCTTTCATTTTAAATTTTGTGCTTAATGCACTTCAGTTGTGCAGAAGTAGTTCTGAAGTTCAACTGAAGATATACTTTGATTGTGCTAAAGTGGAACTACTGCAAGTATACTTAAGGTACACTTTAAATATCTTAAAATATCTATTTAAAGTGCTAAAGATCATACAATCCTCATCCATAGTATCATTAAAACACATTTTAGGCTTAATATTAAGAAATGTGCATTGTGCACAAGTAGTACTTCAAATAAAGTTTAATTATACTTTTTATATCAACAAGTCTTGAGCGATATGCCAGTAAATAATAGATTTGAACTATACTTAGTATGAAATAAATGTATTTTAAATATATTACTTTTTTACTAGGGATGATATGCAAAAATTCTGAAATAAGTGAAAATAGCAAGCACAGAAAAATATCCAATTTCTATTGAAAAATAAAAAAATCTCTAATATCAACAAATAACCAATGTAGTACTGATATACTGTGCATCCCTAGACAAAACAAAGACAGGATAATGAAAAATAATATGCCACGCACATAAACAGAGAATAGCACACAGAAAGACAAATAGAAGCAAACACACACAGGGTGCTGCAGGAAGGGAAGGCAGTGTTGGGGTATTACTGGTGGGTTTGTGTCATGTTGCGAGGACATGAATGTTTTTGGGAGCTGCATTCTTACCAAATAAACCTAGAAAGTGCATATATTGGGTAAGTGACGGTTACCCGAGTGGAGAGTGGAGGAGTTGGGCGTAGCAAGCAGAGGCAGGTTAGAATTACTTACACACAGCATGGTGGGAGAGCGCCAGGGCTGTAGCTGTATCCCCAGCTTGCTCCAGGCGCAGTGACTGCTCTAAGAGAGAGTCAGCCTCCGCCAGGCAGTGCTCAAAACTGCCCCCCTTCCCTGCAATTAACACACCAAGGCCAGGCTTCTGAGAACACGCTCATACACGCACAAACACTGCTCACAGGAGCCCGTGTGTTCCCGGGAACACGCCACTCACAACGTTTACACGGCTTACCAGGAATGGAGACGTCCACTGACACACAAGCACACACAGTCTGATGACTGCCACCAACACAACTCAAACACAATTTGACATGTTTGTAAACACATCATGCACGCTGACTAGGGAGAACTCTGATTCAAGATTAAAATGTAAGATTTGAGTGTATAGGCGTGTTTTTGATGCTATGGCTCCCATCTACAATAGTTATATTATAATTCATGGTGTTACAATGATATTTAAATTCTTTTTATTTTTTAAAGATCATGAGACATTGCATTAGAGTTGAGAAGACAGGAAAGAGTAAACTTTTACTTCCAAACTATCCCTGCTGGAGAAAAAGGTTTGAACCAGCCTAAATAGGTTTGCTGGCCTTTGCTGGTTTAAACTGGTTTGCTGGTCTCCCAGTATATGGCCAAGTTGGTGCTAAGTTGGTTTAGCTGATCGGTCGGCCTGATCAGGTCAAAAGTATGTAAACTACCACCCCAGGAGCATTAAAGGGATAATTCACCCAAAAATGAAAATTACACAATGATTTATTTACTCACCCTCAAGCCGTCCTGGGTGTATATGACTTTCTTCTTTCAGACAAATACAATCAGTGTTAGGTTAAAAATTTTTATTATCCTGGCTTTCTTCCAAGCTTTATAATGGCAGTGAATGGGGTTCAAGGTTTTGAAGCCCAAAAAGTACATCCATCCATTATAAAAAGTAGTCCACACAGCTCCAGGGGGGTTAATAAAAGCCTTCTGAAGCGAAGCGAGGCATTTGTGTCAGAAAAATATCCATATTTAAAACTTTATAAACCGCAATCTCTAGCTTCTGCTAACTGTCGTACTCGCGTTTATGAGAGAGTGATATTCCAGCGGATGACGTAGGACGTAGGCGTAGCGTAAGCTCCGGTGAGAAGTGACAAACGCAGAGGCACAGAGGAAAGAGCAAAACAAAACACCGGTCACGAATGAAGGATTTCGATATAAGCCAAGAGGACACTGGTTTTCCTTTGCTGTAAATAAAACTTGGCTCTCGTGAGACTAGCATATTCTCACCGGAGCTTACGTTATGCCTACATCATCCACTGGAATGCCACTCTCTCATGTACGCGCGTACGACAGTTAGCGGAAGCCAGAGATTACACTTTATAAAGTTTTAAATATGGATATTTGTCTTACACAAACACATCAAATCACTTCGGAAGGCCTTCATTAACCCCCCAGAGCTGTTTGGAGCACCTTTTTATGATGGATGGATGTACTTTTTTGGGCTTCAAAATCTTCACCCCATTCACTGCCATTATAAAGCTTGAAAGAGCCAGGACATTTTTTTTATATAACTCTGATTGTATTCGTCTGAAAGAATAAAGTCATATACACCTAGGATGGCTTGAGAGTAATTCATGGGGTAATTTTCATTTTTGGGTAAACTATCCCTTTAAATCAGACCAGCCTAAACAGCATAGAAAGCCATCAGAAAAAAAGCTATTCAAAAATCTCTAATATCAACCGATAACCAATATGGTACCGATAAATTGTGCATCCCTAAAAACAAACCTGAAGTCATCTGCTGGTCTTAGCTGGTCTTAAACTGGTTTGTTGATTTTAAATTGGTCTAGCTGATCTTCCAGCATGGCCAAGCTGGTGTTAATTTGGTTTAGCTGGTCGGTGAAAACTGGACAAAACCACCTTAGACCCATTAAATCAGACCGATCTAAACAGTATAGCCAGCCATAAAAACAAAACAAAAAAATGTAAAAATGTCTAACTTCACTAGATGATCTATATGGTATTGATTCATTGTACATCCCTAGAAAGCCATCAAAACATATCAGCCTAACCAGATTAGCAAGGCTCAGAAACCAGCTAACCACTTTAGGCTGGTTTAAGCTGGTTTTTGTAGAAGGGATTAGAAGGGATTTTCTCTTTAAACACAAATTCTAGCTCCTTTCATTTGGTTTCTGCTGTTTGGCCCTGTGTGGCATTTACCCTGGTGCTGAAGTTCGTCCAGGTCCATGAACTTGCTGGGTCTGGGGTTGAAGCCCTGCGCTGCTTCTCTCTCCTTCTCCTTTTTCCTCTGGAGCTCCTGCTGCCTGGCCCTGCGAGCAACTTCCTCTTGCAATTCATCCAGCTCGCTGCGCCCCTCTCCTATACATACACAAAGACATAAATAAGTAATAGTAATACTCATATCCTAGTTATACACTTGAAATGAACACCTTGTCCTGTAGCAATAGTGGGTTAATGCACATAGGCAAAGACCGGTGGTGACTCACCCAAACTCAGTGGACTGCTGCTCCAGGTGGGTGATTTGAGGTCTTGCAGGATGGCACTGCTGCTTTTGGACTTGGGCACTGTGCGCCAGGAGGGCCCAGAAGTCACCGGTCTCTTACTGCCGCTGTCCCTGAGGCGGGGAAGAGCATATGTCATTCACTCAGTCATCATGAGAGTGATTCTCAATGTCTCTGTGGTAAATTTGTCTGCGCATACTACAACTTTAAGGCTTATGGTACAAGCCAGGACAGATATTTATGATATATTCAATACAGTTTTGTTGGCATTTTACAATTAACCAACACTGTGAATATTAACACCATCAGAAACAATCTATGATAGATTTGTTGTATAGTCATACAGTATATGAAGCAGGTCTGGGTGATGCTTGCTTATTTCTGCTTCATATTTCATACATTATTTATAGAAATATAGTGTTGAAAATATCAAACATGATGCAGCAGGTATTTGAGGTATATTATTCATCAACGTAATGCATTTCATGACACATTATGCCCACCAAAAAAAAGTTAATCAAATCATTAAATTAAAATAATTTAAAACTGAAATATAATTTGATTAAGATGCATTTGTAGCAGGAACTGATATATAAATATACAAACAGTCTGGTCTATCATTTTTTAGAAATATAATCGATTTTCATTTCTTACTGCCATCATTTTACACTATTGTTCAGTAATTTTTTGAAATGTATTTTAAAAGAAGTCTCTCACCAAGGCTGCATTTACTATTTGTTCAAAAACAAATTAAAAACTGTAATATTGTGAAATATTATTAAATTAAAATATTTTAAATTGTGATTTAAAATTTAGTCAAGTTAGTTTTGCTTTAAATACAGTGTGATTTTTGGTAATCGAGATCTGGCAGCAACAACACATTTTTCTGCTTGGACGAGCAATTCGCGGACAGTATTTCTTGCGCATGAAATCACCCACATGCCAACAAACCAATGAGAACACAGAACAATAATGATGATTCATAGTAACAGAGCATAGGTGCCAAAGCTGTTGTGGATCCGCTCACCTGAATCCCTCCGTAACTGGCACAGATTTACAGAAAATTGGTTTGACAAATAAACAAATTCCAGACCATTACACACATGTGAGCTTCATATTACACATTACTTGACAAGGGAATTTACAGTAATGTTAATATTAAACAGCCAGTCCCCACACTCATTATCTGAAATGGCTTGGGTACACAGAGCATTCACAGCTTATACGGACTGCACACCCGATATATAGGTTAGTTAGTTTTGGCCAAGTTGCTGTGTTACCTGTGAGCACTGGTGCTTGGGTTGTCGCTGAGGGGCATGTCCATGCTGATGGGGCTGTTGCTGTTCCTCTCACTACTTTCGTAGCCACTCTCCATCCTCTGGATCAGTCGAGGCTGCTGTTCCACACCTCTTAAAGGTGGCGGGATCGGTAGATGCTCCACTTCCGTTTCTGGCACGCCCCCTGAGCCATCGGTCATGGCCCCCATCTCTGCTGCTGCAATGTTTGACCGCTCCGCCGCAGCCCCTGAGACCAGCTCACTGTGCCCTGGTGACATCGGGTCTTCCGGCAGCGGGGAAGGTCCGAGCGTGGCGTAGCCGGCTGGCCGATGCTTTTCCCGGCTGAAGATACTGTCAATGTTCAGGGCCTCTCTTCTGGGTCTCCATGTGGGCCGATAGCGCCCTCCACTGGAGCTGGACTTGGACTCGCTGCTGGTGCTCTCGTCTTCCCAATCTCTCGCCTGCGCCCCAGCCTCCGAGCCGCCCACTCCTGAGCTAGAGGAGGATGAGAGGGGTCTGCTGTGGATCATATTCACAGTCTCTTTATAGTCCTGCAGATGGCCAGTAGAAGAGGGTCTCGGCGTACAAAGGGGAGTGGCCTGGTCTTTAAGAACCTCCCCTGAAGAAAAAAAAAATCACATTTATAAAAGTTTTAAGTAGTAAATTTGATAGGACATGTGCCTTCTCAGTTTGATTCAGCATGACGCATTTGCCAGTGGAATTTATATTGAGAGTGTGCGTGTTTGTTAAAGTACCTGCAGTATCCATGCTGTTCTGGGAACCGCTGCTGTCCTGATTACACACCACTGTTCCCTGAGAGTCAGAAGAGAAATGGGAGGCCATGGACTCATGGTGTGATCGAGAGTGCTTGTAGCTGTAGCTGTCTGTGGAAGAGTCTGTGCGTGTGTCACTTGCAATTGAGGGCTCCCTCCCTGACGACAACAACAACAACAGCAGAGAGGGCATTTAGAAATAGAGAAAGTTAGCTTCAGCGATCCAGCTGCAACTGCTCAAAGGTCAGAATTTAAAGGGATAGTTCACCCAAAAATTAAAATCCTCGTGTCATTCCAAACCTACATTCAAAATGAATGCAATCACAATGAATGTGGACTAAAGCTTTCAGAATTCAAAAATGAATGTAAAAACTCAATCAATGGTTCTCAACCAGGGGGCTGGGGCCCACTAGGGGGCCTCAGCGATCTTCCAAAGGACCCTAAAATGAAATGATTAAGTGACCTGAAATGATTAAGAATAGGACAAAACAAGCATTAATATACAGAAAAGCAAGTAAAAATTGAAATATTTCTTACTTTAATTCACCCCCTTTCGGCTAGACAACCTGGATATACTGTATGAGGCCTAATTTTTAAAAGTGTTATTTCTAGACCTGGAAAAGTCATGAAAACTAATAAAATCATAAAGCTCTATGGGCATTTTTAAAATAAATATACACTTTTGTATGCATGCCAAGTTTTAAAATATTTTATCGTGTAGAAATTGTGAATAAACAATACTTTTGAAAATCCTCATCCTTAATCCTAATGAAAAAAATCATGAAAAACTGGAAAAATCATAGGGCCTTCAGCGGACAATGGAGTTAAAAAGGTTGAGAACCACTGTTTTAAAGTCATATTATAGCACTGTGTGAGATACAGAATGTTTTGTTTTTATTTACTGAAAATCTTCCTCTCCAGTGAACCGTTAACTCAAGAATTGCTGTGAGGCTAGGTGACTCAGTTGTGAACCTTGTAACCAGATCAGGCCATTGCATGAATGAACAAGATCATCTGATTCAGTGAAAAGATCTGATTCAAAAGAATTATTCAGACATCGCTACATCTCTCATGAATGCACCAAGGACAGTTAAATAAACTAAACAGTTTTTTCTGTTGAAAAAATCTACTGTATGTTTTAGCGCTGTATTGACCACTCTTATGATGTTTTGGACTTATTTTCAAGCTTGAAAACTTTAGTACCCATTCAAACCTAAATTAATGGAAAAGACCAATCACAATCTTTAAAATTAGCCCTTTGTTTTTTCATGTTTTATATGGATTTGGATTGACTGTATTTTCATTTTTAAGTGAACTATTCCTTCATCTGATTCTAAGAATAAGCGATGATAAGTAGTATTGTTTCTTTTTTGTTTAACCCTCTACCTCTCCGTCCCGCCTCTCAGTTCCTCTTAGTCTCACCGGAGTCTTCGCTGTCATAGCCGGCCTTGCTACTGTGGTGCAGGTCCAGCTGCGCTGCCAGCATGTCTTGCGATGACACGGGCGTTCCTCGGGGGTCAGCGTACAGCAGCAGAAGTGGCTGGTAGTGGCCTTTTATACATCTCGACACCACATCCTTCCACTTAGGTCCGATCTGTGACGGTTTGGTACATTCAGACTTAACCGCACACTCCATTCACAATTAGAAACTCTAGAATCAGCTGCCAGAGACAGACACGTCATTACCTCCTTCACATGTGCATCATCGAAGTACATCCACTTGCGTATCTTGGTCTGGAAGAAGAAGGTGGAGTAATGCTTGCCGTAGTAGCAAACCATGCCCACAAGGTAGAGCTCCGATTGTTTGGCCCTCTCATCTGTCACACGGTAGAACAGCTGGAGGGCGGGCACATAAAGAGAGAATTGTCCGTGAGGACCAATCAGATTTAGCGTATCTCTAAACAAGGTCCCTTCAATAAGGGTTAAAAATGTATTAAAGAATTGTCTCTCTTTCAAGTCATGAGTGTGAATTTGAATGGAATTGGTCACACATACACAGGATGTTGAATTAGACGTAATTGATGTACTTTGAATTGCAGTGACAGGAGGATTTCACTGAATTGCAATTTTTTAAAAAACACAACAGAACAATTTCATTATTTTAGCAATAAAACATAATTATATCATTCATTCTGGCAAATTATGCCCATTTATTTCCTAATAAATAGTCATTTAAGTTCAAAAGACAGGTATCCAAATAGATTTCAATTATGCCATAAGATACAAAATGCAATTTTATAAAAATAAACAAACAGTCACATCAAAATTTTTATTTATTTACTACATAACATATGGAATAAATAATAACATTTTGGTAAACTAAGTGTTTTGACAGATAACATGAATAAAAATGTAACAAATATAATATTAACACCAACAAATATTATAATAATCATAGTTTATTATTATTATTATCACTTATTCTCTTAATCTCACCAAGCCTGCATTTATCTGATGAAAAATGTAGTAAAACTATAATATTGTGAAATATGATTCCAACTACATTAATATATTTTAAAAAGTATTTTATCCTGTGATGGAAAAGCTGAGTTTTAGGCAGCCATTATTCCATATGCTGTGTGCATGAAAACACTTGTTATATTAGTCTCTTTGAATTTCATTCTATTTTTTATGCACTTAAATTCAAGTTCTGCATTCTGTTTAACACAGAATGGCACACAACCCTGCCGTGAAGTTGATGTGAGAATGCTGTAACAGTGGGGCCACAGAGATATTGAATGTGACAAAGAGTACACTGTGTTTCCTCCTCTTGTCCTGAACTGTGCATAAGAGAGAGGGAGCTGGAAGCTCAAGGTTATTGCGTTGAAATGGTGACAAAAAGGAACAATGATAGTGTGTTGTCCGTGCATGCAAGAGTCTTACATCACCCAATCGGAGGCACGTGCCCAGGCTGTGGATGACGTCTTCGGCTAGATCAGAGTGATCCGAGTCCCACACCAGGCCGATGCTGATGATCTCCGGGCAGTTCATCAGAACCCGCCGAATCCGTAACATCTCACCACAGTTATTCTGAAACGATGAGGCAAAAAAAAGAGGGCATCTTGATCACATGTGCATGTGTGTGCAAGAGAGAGAAAAGGTGAAGGAGAGATTAAAGGAACGCTTCAAACAGGGCAACACAGTCCAGCAGGGCCTTATGTTCGGCACCCAATGTTCTAGCTGTGCTCTTTGAGTCACCGCCCTCTGTCGAGCGCTTTGGCAGCGGTATACGGAAACAGGCTCTGGCGATGAGCACCACTGCCAGCCTGACCCCTTCCCTCAACGTACAAAAACCTAGCCGAGCACTGCCTTTGTGGAGCGGGCAGCGGGGTGGCAAACAGGCTGGCATCAGACCTGGGCAGGAAGGGATTAGACAAAGAGCCCAGTTCTCAGAACCAGCCTCTCTCTCTCTCTCTCTGCCTCAGTCGCTCCATCACAGACAAACACACACAAGCGAGGCAGCCAATGAACAGCCAGCAGCGGCAGCACTGCTGAGCTTTTGGGACAGACACACAGTGTCCCATTAGAGATCATTGTTAGCCTCAGCTCCGCAGTCTGCCCTGCCAAGCGCTGGGAATCCAGACAAACACATGCTTTCAGGGCCAGACGACTAAGCTTCTAAAGAGCAGTGACGTTACAAACTACCGATCTCAGCTGCATTTCAATAAAGCCATTTCAGGGAATCGACAAATGGAAACTCACTGGAAATGAAAGAATGGATTTCAGCTCAACTGAATTTTGACTCATTTCACTGATTTGGTACGGAGCAGACTGTAAAGAGCTGATATGGGTTTCTCCGTAAGCACGCTGAATGATGCTGGAGCGTGTTTGGGTTGATGAAATCATCCGCCTCCTTTGGCGGGGTGAGGGTGCACAGTGTGTGGTAAGAGCTGATCGGCAGCTGGTGTGTAATAGGGTAGGACTGTCTCTGTCTGTGTGTGTGTGTGTGTGTGTGTGTGTGTGTGTGTGTGAGTGTGTGTGTGTTGTGGGTCTGTCGTCTGTATAGAGGAGAGGAGCAGTGAGCAAAACTCTCTCGGGCAAAGAACAGACGGTCTTTATGCTTCCACGTGAACAGCAGAGCTTAAATGAGTATCTGGGTGGCTTGAAAAAGGGTTTGTATTGAATCACTTGGGTGAAGATCAAGTTAACGGGCAAAGTCAAAATCAAACTAAGTGACAGACTATTGAAGGCATGAAATAATTTTATCCAATGGGATTTGACTGGATGGTGAAAATTAGGCTTTTATTTTAAAAGGACAATATTACACACTTTATGGAATACTTGATCCTGATTGGCCAAACCAATCAACTAAACTGTACTGTATATTTCAGCGTTGCTCCAGACATCCGATATGTGTGGAGGACTAGGAGTGACACTTAGTAAAAGATATTAATTTATTAATTCACATTAATTCAACATAAAATGGAAATAAATTAATCACTTATAAACTGACAAATAAATTGACATATTTAAAATTGTTTATTTAATTAAAGGGGTCATATGATGCGATTTCAATTTTTCCTTTCTCTTTGGAGTGTTACAAGCTCTTGGTGCATAAAGAAGATCTGTAAAGTTGCAAAGACTAAAGTCTCAAATCCAAAGAGATATTCTTTATAAAAGTTAAGAGTCAACCACGCCTACCTAAAACGGCTCGTTCTAACACGCCCCCACATGTCTACGTCACGATGTGGGAAGATTTGCATAACGCCACCCAAATGTTCACGCAAAGAAAGAAGGCGTAACTTTTATTCTCGCTGTAGTATTGTTGCTGCCGCCATGTCGTGAAGGCGCTGTGTGTTTCAGTGATGTTTTTTATATTTAAAGAATTTGCCACTGATGATTCAAACGCGAGTTTTGAACAGTGTAGAGTAGTGCTTGTTGTTTGTCATTTCTCCGATCACAAATGCAGACATGGTTTTATGTTTACGCGGCGCGATGCAATGCAACGCGTAAAAAGACAGTATAAGTCATTATAATCCGTAATTATGTCCCCACTGGATGCAACAAATGCCTCGCTTATAATGGGTTTTCATGTTTTTGAATCGTCGCTCTGGCCGGACAGGGCATCACAATATGGTAAGGGGCGTAACATTTCCGTCACACGCTTGAGGTATTTGGCCAATCACAATGCACTGGATAGCTGGCCAATCAGAGCACACCTCGCTTTTCAGACCGATGAGCTTTGTAAAAATCGACGCGTTTCAGAAAGGCGGGGCATAGAGGAGAAACAATAATGTACAGTATGTGGAAAATAATGTGTTTTTTGAACCTTAAACCGCATAAACACATTTCATTACACCAAATACACCAAATAATGTTCTTTTTAGCAACATCATATGATCCCTTTAATGTTTTAAAATGTAATTAAATACAACAAAATAGTAAATTATTTTTTTAATGCAATTTAAATTGTATTTTTGAGTCAAAACCTAAGTGGTCACCCCAACAAGAGAACTGTCCAATTACTTTTTTTCTTTTTACTCAACTTAGAAATGGATAAAGAAAAGCATTTGACAAAACAACAAAGAAAAGCATCTAAGACATTTATTATTCCTTCATTTTATTTTAAGTGTTACTCCTAGTCCTCCATATGCTTGTTTCATGTCTCATCTAGCACTCCACAGTGTCTTTATTCTCACAAAATAAATTTATTTCATTTAATAATTCAAATTCATTAAAAAAATAAAGCATTAAGAGGTCCTTTTACTGTCTTGTTTTCTTAACATTTTCTCATGAGAAAAAAAAAAACGTACGCCTCTCAACATTTCTCTGGTCAGCCACAGGTGTTCCGGTCCCTTGAAATCAACCACATGTTCAGAGTCCCTACAGTCATAAAGCTGTAGCCTCCTTCTCAAGCATCGGACACTGATTTGTAGGTGGCCCATTGAGCTATTACTCAAATTCTTTATACATTAAACTATCTAAAAAAACAGATATGAAAATTTTAATGAGATGTTAAGCATGAAAAACGTTAAGTTAGAAAAAAACAGCAGTTAGACATGTATGCATGCATGTACTCACCGGACAGTTTCGCAGGTCGCCCATGGTGCTGGCGTTGCGGAGAAGCTCTCCAAACATGTCAGGCGTGGGCTTCTCCTTACATTCCAGCATTCGCACAGCTTGGTTACTGCAGCAGAGGGAATAAGAGACAGACGTGTCCTCAAGCACCAGTGTTAACACCACTGACAGGAAATACACACACAACTCTACATACAATAATGTTGAACCATAATTAAAAGTATAATACAGCTCAGTGTTAAATTTTTTCAACTGCCCAAAAACTTTAGTCTACGCAGATGTTATATATCGTCCATAGATCACTATTCCCTAGAAGACATCAGAAACTAATGTAGCAGCACTCATTCTCTGTTCCATCTCTACATGGTCTCCATAAGGACAGAAGCCGCAGGCCTGTGCAGAAATCAGTGTACTTTACTGGCTAATGTTTCCTTAAGCTAAGCGTTATAGCATCCATTTGACATGCAGCATATCTGCACACATGAAGCGTCTGTCAGCATGTCTGCATGGAGGAAATGTGCCGAGACAGTCCCTTGAGGGCTAAATACAACCTATATGCAGACACTAATTTACATCAGACAGACAGGTCTACCCTTTCTCTCGCTGTCTTAATTTCAGCATTATTCAGTGTGCTTTAGTTGAAAATTATGGTCATACTGAAAAAAAAATTATGTTCTTTTTCATCATGTTAAACGTATGGCTCTTTTTGCAATTAAAAAGTTAATGTACTGAAATAGCCACTTTGACCTTGAATCACACTTCACATTGTTTAGCATGCAGTGTTTATGATCTCAGATTACCACTCATCATATTCAACACATTAATAATGATGTTAAGAGGGTGGATGGCATCATCCTTTTTTCCTTTCTGGCATGTTTCCTGCATATCCATCCATCTATATAATCTACAGTATCGCATGCATTATCATTCGCTGGGTGACATATGATGGTAATGTGAACGATTTGCACAAAAATGGTCAATTTATGAATTGCATGATGCTACTGCAAATTTCTGATCGATTCTAGTGTCTAAACCACTTTACATGATAGGTGTGTTGATATAACTATTAAAAAGTTGCACTGTTGTTTGGTATTACAGCTTTATTTATTCAGGTTTCTATTTAATTAGTTATCCATTTATGCTCATGGAAGATTAAAAAGTATGGTGTAATTTGCACTGCAATAGAGTTCTATGTAAATGCGACCTGGCAAACAACTGAATAAACAAACCTTGAATAAAATTATGTATATGATAAGTTTAACATGCATTTCATTTGGATGTGCATTTGATTGGAATCCCAAATGTGCCATTCGTAGGTAGATGTGTAGTTTATAGTGTAGGATTGTAAATCAGTGCTATCAGAATGATAAATGTAAGCCTCTGTTTCACAAAAGAGAGAAATAAATAAATGCAATGAGTTCCATTGTTTCCATGGTATGTGCGAGTTTGGTTTAGCAGCTTTGTTTCTGGATGAAAAACACTGAGTTAGGATTTTGAGCATATTGCGTAGTCTTTGTTTTCTGGTGTGAGTTTGAGAGTGTGTGTTAATATGAAAACCGTCGTGTGAGAATTCAAGGCTGTACAGGGGTACAGCCTTGAACTCACTCCATCCAGGAGTGAAGGAACACACTGTACTATCATTTCCTGCCACACGGCCACATGTCAAAGCACACGATTTACTGTGGAGTGAGTGTGTGTGTGTGTTTGTGAGCGTAAGAGAGGAGAGAGACTGCATGTTTTTATGCATGTGTGCAATGCAAAGCCAGCAAACTGTGTGTGAAATGGTAAAGGTTAATACGTATTCAGCAATTTCAAATTCAGCAAGTGAAATATCTGTGCATGAGATTCCATTATCCATTTTCAAAGAAAGAGAATTGTTGCTTTTATATCTGATACAGAAATCAATAAGGGATGTCTAAATCTATGTGTTTTTTATTCAGCCTGTCACAACAGATCCTTGGGTGCTTTTTGTGGGATTTTAACATCCAACTTTTAATGTTTCATGTAAAGAAAAATGCTTGTATCAATGAAAACCTGATCTACTTCCCTGGTCAAGGTCATACAATAAGACACAAAATAAAGATGGTAAAAGCTTGTGTGTGTATATAAAAAATACATTCAAGCTTAAAAGTATGATATAAAAAATATAAAAAATAAATAAATAAGAATTCATGTAATATGTATTTTCATCCTATCAAGTTTTCTATAAATATATACATATATATTACAAATAAATCATATTTACCAGAACCGTTTATGTCCAAACCCACTACTTTTCAGGAAATGAGAAAAACCCTTTAGTTTTAAATAATTAAACACCATGTTGGTATTGTGGCTATGACATTTACAGTATGTGCAATTCACAGACTTTATAGTATGTGCAATTATTGTTACAAAAATAATGCCCTAACTCAGTACACATACAATTTGACAGATGGCATACTAGTAGCCTTTATTTGAGATCTTAATAAATCAGGGCCTTAGTGGGGGGTCAAACTATTCTATTATTTGGCAATGCATAATAAATCAAGAAAGTGAAATTCTGAATCATGTGGGAGCCTCAGATGCTGATGCTGATACAGATTTTTTCTGTTGTCTTATAGAGTGGGCATAATGAAGGGGCCGGGGACAAGATTCCATGGGGAGTGATGGGTAATGTCCTATCTGTGTCCTCAGTGCTCATTGGAGACACGGAATTAATATGGTCTAAACATCAGATGGGTCGAGGAGCCCTCAGAATGAAATACAGCAGGTAAGAACATTTTCAGGAAGCTGTAAGAGTAGATGTGTGTGTATTTACGTGGGATTTATATGTTGGAACACAGGGATGGATAAAGAGAGAAAAAGACGTAAAATATGGCAGACGAAGGTTGCACGTGTGTAACAATCTATACATTAGAGTGGGAGAATAGGACATGAGGGAGAGGTTTGTGGAGGGTCCATTTCCTGTACATAGCTCTAGCAGATGGCTCTCACGGGTCTGATATGTACGATGACAGCTAATATTACATTACCATCATATGTCACCCAGCGAATGATAATGCATGCCATACTGTAGATTATATAGATGGATGGATATGCAGGAAACATGCCAGAAAGGAAAAAAGGATGATGCCATCCACCCTCTTAACATCATTATTAATGTGTTGAATATGATGAGTGGTAATCTGAGATCATAAACACTGCATGCTAAACAATGTGAAGTGTGATTCAAGGTCAAAGTGGCTATTTCAGTACATTCACTTTTTGCAAATTATTTATGAATTGCATGATGCTACTGCAAATTTCTGATCGATTCTAGTGTCTAAACCACTTTACATGATAGGTGTGTTGATATAACTATTAAAAAGTTGCACTGTTGTTTGGCATTACAGCTTTATTTATTCAGGTTTCTATTTAATTAGTTATCCATTTATGCTCATGGAAGATTAAAAAGTATGGTGTAATTTGCACTGCAATAGAGTTCTATGTAAATGCGACCTGGCAAACAACTGAATAAACAAACCTTGAATAAAATTATGTATATGGTAAGTTTAACATGCATTTCATTTGGATGCGCATTTGATTGGAATCCCAAATTTGCCATGCGTAGATAGATGTGTAGTTTATAGTGTAGGATTGTAAATCAGTGTTATCAGAATGATAAATGTAAGCCTCTGTTTCACAAAAGAGAGAAATAAATAAATGCAATGAGTTCCATTGTTTCCATGGTATGTGCGAGTTTGGTTTAGCAGCTTTGTTTCTGGATGAAAAACACTGAGTTAGGATTTTGAGCATATTGCGTAGTCTTTGTTTTCTGGTGTGAGTTTGAGAGTGTGTGTTCATATGAAAACCGTCGTGTGAGAATTCAAGGCTGTACAGGGGTACACGCATCCAGGAGTGAAGGAACACACTGTACTATCATTTACTGCCACACGAGCCACATGGCAAAGCACACGATTTACTGCGGAGTGAGTGTGTGTGTGGCACGTGTGTAACAATCTATACATTAGAGTGGGAGAATAGGACATGAGGGAGAGGTTTGTGGAGGGTCCATTTCCTGTACATAGCTCTAGCAGATGGCTCTCACGGGTCTGATATGTACGATGACAGCTAATAACCCATGATATAGAGCCTCATTCCAGTCCAGCAGGTCGGCTTCAGCATTCAGTTGGAGCTGGTGGCTCACTTACCCGATAAACACTGTGGAAGTTACCTTCAGTTTCCAGTCTGATGTGTAAATCGAAACCCTCACTCAACATCAAAGTGACAGGAGCCACAATCGTCCGTTTTCACCACTAAACGGCGTACACACGGTCGCACACCTCACTAAGTCCCAATAGATCACCCTCAACCACGAGAATATCCATCATTTTTGCAGCACAAGGCAAACTGAGCCAAAACAGTGAAGGGCAAGACATAATGGTTGGCAGTAGACTTGTGCCGGTATTCGGTAATGCGATATATCACGGTAATGGATATGCACGATATTGTTATCGTGGGCACTTCTAAATACCGTGAATAATTATATATTACAAATTATTCCAAATTTTGAATGCATTTTAAGAATACTTTTCCCATCAACTGGTCAAAATGCACAACACCGCTGTATGCTGCGTGAAAGCGTGTGCACTCTGACCGCAATTAATCGCAACATGAAAAATTGATACCGGCATATCCCTAGTTGGCAGTAGTATGGCCAAATGGTTCAAGATTTGAGAGGGTAAATGAAGACTGAAAAATCAACACTTAACAGGGTGCTATTGTCACTGGGCTCTCGAGTAAGACAACTAGGGCTAGTTTTACTAAAAAGGGCAAAGTAGTGCAAGAGTGCAATTCCAAAAGAGCGCCGATGGGTGTGGAAATTTCTGCGGGTGATTTACTAACAACACGTAAATTAAAGAACACAGACGTAACATCTCATTTACATATCGACCAACGCAATATACCAAGCGCAGTGCAAATTAGCGTAGTTGCAAATAAAGAATAAAGAAATAAAGAAGCCACAGTACGTTGAAAAGAACCGGAGGCCAAAAAATAGAAGTTTTGATAGACCTGGTATTGCATGTCTCCTAATTTGACGAGCGCAAACGTTAGTAAATCGCGTCGCGTGATTCATTTGAATACTCTCCTCCCATAAATCTTGCGTCTGAAAGGGAAACTTCTAGAAATGCATATTCAATGAGGTCAGGCCTTTTCAGCGCAAATTCTTCACTGCGCGTCTTTAGTAAAACCTGACAGTACTATTTTAACGCCAAAAGACGGTTTGCACTGGCACAAGCTGTTAGTAAAACTGGCCCTTAACCTCAAGTGCTTTTTTCACACTACTTGCGTCCCAAATGACGCACTATACACTTATTCACTATGTACTTATGCACTATGAACTCAACTGTGTAGTGTATGAATTATATAAGGTTATTTTGTCATTCATAATCTAAGTCTGATAGCCCCTCCCCCTCTACTACGTAATTAAAGCTGACACATGTGTGCATGAAATGTCCAACATTCCACACTTCGTTTTTTTTTTCTCGGTTTGTTAAGTACATCATCCGGGTATTTAAAGTGCAATTTTTCTTTTTAGAATTTTTAATGTGAACACACTGCTCGCACTACTTACACTACAAAACGGCATAGAGTAATGCACAAGTTCGCAAATTGGGACGCACCTAATTATTTTCAAGCACTAAATATACCATTCAGAAGTTTTGGGTCCGCAAGTTTTTGTAATGTCTTGGAAAAAAGTCTAAGTCTGCAATTATTTGCTAAAAACCTGTTTGTAAAAACAGGATTATTGAGAAATATTATTACAATTTAAAATAACTCTTTCAAATTTTCAGCCGCCATTACTTCAGTGTTCACTGTCACGTGATCCTTAAGAAATCATTCTAATATGCTGATTTGGTGCTCAAGAAACATTTCTCATTATTATCAATATCGAAAACAGTTGTGCTTCTGTGCCATCTTTTCCAAGATTTTTTAATCAAAAGAATGTAAAAAAAAAAAAAACAGCATTTGAAACAAAAATCTTTTGTAAGATTATAATTGTTATTACTGTTAAATTTAATGCATCCTTGCTGAAAAAGCATTCATGTCTTTCAAAAAAAAATGACTGACCCCAAATTGTATTGTATTCTTAGCTTAGCAAACATGCTAAGAATAAATGCACTCAAAGTGCTATTTGAGTGGAGTTGCAGTCTATGTAGAGAGTTCCAAATCTCTCAATTATATTATAATTTTAGGATGCTGACTTAGAAAGCAGCTGTCTATGTAGGCAGTAAGCAGCTAGTCATCTCACAAAGTTTTGCTTTGGAACAGAGCTAATTAGTCTCTATGAGCAAAACCATATGTACTGTATGGAAGATATGAAAACGTGGTCCTACACTTACCAGAGAGATGTGGTGGAGATGTAGTGCACCATCTGAATGAAGGGGAGAGGATCCGATGTGGCTCCACAATTATTACAAACACACTGGAAGAGAGAGTAAACACAATTAGAATACATGTTAGGCACCACACAAAATGCACAAAAAAACCCCAAAAAAACAGATAATATCCCCCACCAACCTGTTCGAAAAGTGTCATGGCAAACTTCTGATGTGGGATGCAGTGCTTGGCTGTGCAGATGTCCTCCTTGGTCTCATCCGAGATGTGGAAGTGGATCCGTATCAGGAGGTTCTCCTGAAGAAAACCAACACAAACAGTTTGGATCGTTTCTATATGAGTCGGTGTGTGTGTGTGAGAGCATTGGCTTTCTCGTTCCTTTGATCTGGCTCTGATAAACAATTCTGGAACAAGATGTTTAGCTCCAGTGCAATACAGCACGCAGGCTATTTCTGCAGCATTTAAACAGTGAGGCATCTTTGAACGGGTGTTTGTGTATGTGTGTCAGAGCGAGCGAGTTGTGTGGTCCGGCTCTTATATTCATTTTTCTCTGTCAGCACTCACTTCACGTTAATCTGATCAAGTGAGAACAACACATCTATTTTTCATAAGAGTCCTTTTGATTCCCTGGCTGAACAAATTTAAAATGAATCGATCACACTGCAAGTTCCTGACAAAGGAATACAGGGTGAATGAGGGAGTGGGAGAGAAAGTGAGAGAGGTGAATAAGACCATATATCAAATCTCTAGTTCCCTTCCTTTCATCTCGCTAACAGCCGCGGACCACGTTTGCAACACCCCTACAACTACCACTGCTGGAGAAACTACTTTAAAACCAAAGCTCCCCAAGCTACATGCTACTCAGTTTTAATCAAAACAGTTAAACTACAGTCAGGCTGCAAATTTGAAAAAGTAGCTAGCTACACTATAAAATGACTAAGCAACAGCAGCTTCATTAAATCTAAGGCAACAAAATAGTTGTATATATAACTATTAAATAATATAAATTACTTCTGAAATCAGAGCACAGTTTACCAGGTACAGAAATATTAAAGGTGACAGCATTAAATTTACAAAATATGTATACTAGATATAACTAATAAAACTTGAAAACTAATTTATAGGGAAATAAGAGTTAGACTGAAGCATCCCTTTGTGCATCAGTCAATCCTAAAATTGAATATGGAACTTAATTCCAGACACAATGTATGTTGAGAGACTTAATTAATATGAGATATGAATGTGTACATTTTGGTGACTGTATAAAAATGTCTATCTATCTATCTATCTATCTATCCATCCATCCGTCCGTCCGTCCGTCCGTCCGTCCGTCTGTATAACAGCATTAAACTAAATAATTTAACAGCTAACAACTTTTTTCTTGAAAATATACACACATTGCATTGAAGTCCAATTTTATTACATATAACTATTTTAAAACTACCGAACAGCATTATTTTAGTTTTATTTATATTGTATTATAGTATTTAATAAGTATGTTAAAGTATGTATGTATGTTGTATGTTAAAGTAGCTATGTTTTTATATTTCATTTTTTAACTGATTTTAATTTTAATTAATTTTAACTTTAACTGCTTTTATTTTCAGTTAGTTGCCAAGCCAAGTTTTTAAATTTTTCATCCAATATTTAATTTTTATTTTATTTCAGCTTTATTCCAATAAACGTTTTTTAAACGGTTTTAGGTAGCAATAACACTGCTACTGAAAAAATAATGTATTAATCTTGCACTGTCATCTTGGATGACAAGTGGCATTTATTGTCAAGAAATAAAGCTGGTAAAACATTCAACGTATTTAGACGTTCAACGTATATTAGACGTACATTCAAGAAGTATTTAGGACACTTTTTCTTTGTGTGCAATATTATTAAAGGGGGGGCGGGTACAATGCTGTTTCATGTATTCAGAGTTGTTTACACTGTTAAAGAGTTGGATTCTCATGCTAAGCATGGACAAAGTTTCAAAAAACTATTTGGAGTATTTCTGTGCCAAAAATCTTTTTTCGAAAAAAAGTTTCATACAAGTTTCAGAGAGTTTTTTTCGATCATGGCTCTTAATAACGTGAACGAGGGTGGAACTCTTTATATGGGCATTTCTCCCGGAAGAACGCGCCCGCGCACACATCGACCAGAGCAAGAGCGAGATCGCGCCCATCAACGTGCTTCATCCGGTGGCAGCGCTGCACGGGACTTGCTCGGGAAGAATGTCTCCAATCCAAAGAAGTGTGTTTTTGGTTGTAAGGGAAAGATAACTTTGTTCAGCTTCCTAAAGAACCCAGCGTTATGTAAACAGTGGATACAGTTTGTTTTTCCGGAGCAGCAGCGGAGTTTCACAAGTGTGTTTGTTGACGAACGTTTTATAAACAAGGCCCAGTTCGACACTGGATTTGCACATCGTTTGATACTGAAAGATGGAGCTGTCCCAGCTATTAAAGATCCCGGTCATGATTCAGAACTGCAGACGGTAAGTGAAACGGCATCAAATGTCTGTTTTGTTGGCATTCGGCGCCCAAGTGCTCGTCACTCTTTAGCACCACCCACGGTGTGCCTCCAGGAGCTCGGCTTTTTCCGGAGAGTATCGTAAAGCTGTATCTTTCTTTTATAAATATGAAAAAACTAAAGATTTTTTGGAGATATGAAGGATGCAGCACTACTCTATAGGTACTCAAGATCAACATGAGATTGGGTGAAACTGTGTGCGTTATGCCCCCTTTAAAAAAAATCAGCAAAGCAGCATTATGTTATACTACTCTTAGCAAAAAAAAGTTTTCTAGAGGACTTGAAACAGTTAAGCTAGTCAAACAACTAAAAAAATATATAGGTAAGTTAGTACCACAAGTACTAATTATCTACTCCCCAACACTAATAACTCTGAGTTCACTGAGCTTGTAAATAGACTTTTCACACACTGCATTCAACCTAATTTTTCACTCTGAAAAACATCACATCTCACGCCCTCCGCTAGACACTTCTCATTGAGTATCACACAACAAATCATTAGTGTATGGAGCATTTCATTTCCTGCTCAGATAATAACGCAGCTATTTATGCAGGGGTGCAGATGTGCAGAGGAGCAAGGCAGAAATGAAGAGTTGGCATTTCACTAATGTACTGCCTGTCGTCTGGTGCACGTGAGGAGAGGGGTCGCATCTAAAAGACGGATGGCGCGCCGAGCGCTTTGGCCCCATGCCTGCGTCTGCCTCGCAAATGCAGCAGTCAAACAAATGGGAGAAATCTTGGCAGCTCCATTCAACAGATCCTCAGCTAAAAATAATGAGCCCGTGACAGAAACAGACCTTTGTTACCGAACTGCAGACGAGGTGCTAATTGAACTAAATAACACTTTGATGATGCTGTCTTTTGTGACCTTATGAGTAAGCACAGCTGCATTCACAGATCTATGGCAGAAAAGCCCCGACATAGACAGTACTGGCTGCATATAAATGGTTATTTAAGATGGAGCCAATCACAGGGTCTCTCGGCGAGCTATCTTGATTGGACAGCTCAGCCGCTCTCCCATGAATGATCGTTCAATTGCTTATTTGCTTAAAAGCAATTATCTGTATTGATGCTCACGCGGTGTGTCCTTTAAGGACATAAATGTGAGATAAACACAATCTATGGTCCTTAATCAGGTCCGGGCCGAATAATCAGGTCTGGGGATTAGAGGAGTTGGTTGAGGAGTACAGGAAGACCTTATAGAAAGCTTCCACATCCTTAATAATCCTATCCGAGCTCATTTTAAGCAACAGCAGAGCCCGTATATATACCTGCCAACTCCTGCTGCCATATGCCTGTAAAGCCCATGACGCCTACGGCCATAAATCTAAATATCCACTTAAAAACAGCTCCAATGAGTGTATGAGCGGTCTACCGTCTACACAGGCAACAACAATGTGTTCTTAGATTCAATATCAGCCATTTCTAACTGTAATTGGTCTACATTGTTCATATTATTGTAATCCATCTAGGAGTTCTTGAACATAAGAAAAAAATCTTATTACTTGTAATAAAAACTAAAACAAAACTAAATAAAAACTTTTTTTTTCTGAACTGTTAACTGAAATTATAAGTAACATAACTGGAAAAAAACTAAAACTAAATGAAATAAAAATAGCCAAAATGTAATTTTAGTTTTTGATACATGGTATATTATAAAACTATTATAATACTTAAAACCTTTAGTAACACTAGAACGTGCTGAGAAATGTAACATGGGAAAACCTTTTAAAATAACTTTGGCTGCTTTAAAATACACTAAAAGATACAATAAAAACTAAAATATTAAAACCAAAACAAACTAAGTTTGACGAAGTCAATAAAACTAAACTAAACTGAAAAGATGCATTTAAAATAAAATAGAAATAAAAACGTAATAAAAAAGCCTGAAATACTGAAATGGATCCTCTAATGAGAATGAGTTGAAACTTTCTGGGACCACTGTATCCTTCTTGAATGAGGTAATCCTAGAATGCATTGTGACAAGCTCAGTAAAAATGTCCAATTAAGATATTTTATTCAGCACTTCAAAGTAGTCCGATCTAATTAAAATGGAGTATTTCATGCAGTATGTGTGTGCTCACTTCATTGCTTTTTGATTATCAAGTTGCTATTTTAGCCACATGCTAGTCCCACACTAATCTGGAATGACCTGTGAGTGGTAGTTAAGCCTCTCTTGCATTTCAGTTGATGAATGTGAATGTCTTTTAATGGACTTTTTTTGTAAAAACATTTTTACTGAGCTTGTCAAAACGCATTCTAGAATTGCCTCATCCAAGAAAGATACAGTGGCCCCAAAAAGTTTTTGAAAACAAAAGTCTTAAAAAATGTATGCATTTTTTGTGCATCACCCAATCAAATATCGAACCAAGTGGCTTTTTTTAAAAGAAATACAGCTCTTTGTAGGGCTGTCAAAAAAAAAATTTTGAATTTCGAATATTCGTCAAATAAAAAAAAAAATCCACATTCGAATGCAAAACCGTTGCATTGGAATTTTAGGTCTGCATCTGCCATCAGCAGCCTATCAGTGGCGCACAAAATGCGACGACGATGTAAGTGTCATTGCATTTTAATGCTTTTAATGCCTATCCAGTTGAACCCCCTAGATGCGGCACTGCTACGTTGTTCATTTAATATATTGCGGAAAACAAGAGCATCAGTGTGGAGAAGATGTTGTTTACGTCAAAACTGAAACCAAGCTGTTCACACAGAACGCATATTTATCACATTTTCTAGAGGGACATCTATCAGCGTTACACTCGCGTCTGGCACAAGAGAGTGTGGCATGTTTAGAAAGCCATGTAAAATTAATGTAAGCTAACTGAAATTATGCCTTTTAAATTCGAATATAATTTGAATTTTGATCATATTTAAGTAGAAAATTCGAATTTAGTTTTTCAGTCATTTTTACAGCCCTAGCTCTTTGTAAGCATTTCACATGTTAAAACAGATATAATGTTCCAAATTATGATGAAGTATCTTTGGCTTTTCTGCTTGGGGAAATTGGCTATTAAAACCATTAAAATTCACCTGGTGATTAAAAGTCACTGTACGATGGCTCAGAATTGTTCTAAAAGTTAGTTCTGAGAAGAAATCTATTGTATTTTTTTTTTTTGCAAATGTGAATTGATTTGATATTTTTTATGACACTTTAAGTGTGTCTTTAAGCCACTTTTTGTTGCCATTGTATTTACATTGCTGACAAAACATCCGCTATGTTAGAAAGCTCTAAAAACACAGTAAGAATTTACATAAGATCATACATAGTAGACAAAATCTGTCTCCCAACAACGGAAGTCATATTTACTTTACAGTTAAATATGAATCAACCTCAGACGGTTTTATTTAAAGTCTTGTTGTATTCTCAGAGAATCCTATCAGCCAGCCATTTTGAATCAAATATACTTATCAAAGATACAGATCCAACAGAACTCCAAAGAAACTCCTGCCAGAAACATCACGAGACACATCTTTTTCAGTGCATGGAGTAATTTATGAATATTACAAAAAGTTGTCAAACTTCAGCTGTCTGCTTTCCTCCGGAGTTATTTTCCCTACGCTGCTCAGACTTCATGTTTCCATTTCTACCACTCTTCAAACCACACAAGGATGAGCACAAGCAGCAGTGCTTGAAATTCAACACCTAACATCTCTGGAATCTGAGATCAAGGTTGACAAAATCCAAGAGAGGAGCGGAAAAAGACAGAACTGGGAAAGGGGACGCGAGGAGAGACGAAAGTAGGGTTGAGGAGAGGTGAGAGGAGGAAATGCCTGAGAGAGAAAGAGGGATGAGAAGAGAGGAGGTAAAGCTGATCATTGTGTCAGCAAAGACAGAAAGTAACTTATATGGAGAAAGTGTGGAAGAAAGGGGTGAAATGGGGATAAAACGAAAGTCTTACGAAACACTCGGCCGCGTCGTCCATGATGCCCAGCTGGAAGCGCTGCTCGTCTTGGAAGGTTTTGGCCAGAGCGCTGCGCAGGGCGTCCGATGGGAGCACCTTCTCACTGCTGAACTGGAACTGGGCAAAGATGCTCTGAAACCACAAACAGCACCCCAAAGTAAGAACGAGAAACTGATGCAACTAAGACACGCCACAGCACACAACAGCTTTCGTCAGCCTGCCCGCTCACTGTGGAGAGAATACACACGTCGAGAGAGAACGGCTGACATCCTGTACTGTAAAAACATTACACTGCAATACAACCAATCACAGACTCTGTTAGGAGAAATCAATAAACAAACACACAGGCTGTGTTTCGAAACCTAGCGACTTGCCTACTCCTTACAAAAAGCATTTTTGTATATGATGGCCAAAAATGCAGTCTAGCTATGTAGATCAGAAGCAAACATGCTAACATGCCTGTAATAACCCTTATGAAAATTAACCATGGTTTTACTACAAATAAAACCAAAAAAAAAACACAAAAAAAACATGGTTACTATAGTTAAAACATGGTAATCACAAATTAGCCATGGTTTTGCTACACTAACCATAGTGTAGTTTTAGTGTAGTAAAACTGTGGTTATACAAATGGTAATCAATATGCAAAAAAAACATGGTTTCAACACTTTTACTACAATAAAACCATGGTTAATTTTCATAAGATAACATTCCACCAATGCTGTCTAAATAGGCATCTCGGACCAAACATTTCAATGTACCCAAAAATGTTATTTAGGCAAGAGAGGGGGCAAAAATACAAACATGTCAAATTCAAAATTATTTAAGGAAAGAAAAAAAAAAACATAAAACGTAGTTTAGGCCAGGCCCAGCTCCAGACTCATATCACTGAGGGTGCTCTAACCTTAATATATACAGTATATAAAGATTTTAGTGCCATCCATTGCTATGGTGCAGCGCTCCGTTCATAATCACTAAAAAGCTGTCATTCATCTTAGTTCATCGCAATCTCACAAAGTTACGTTATAATTAATGAAGTTCTCTACGATGCACAATGAATCTCTTATTTTCATTGCGTCTACTCTTTGTTATAATGAGATTATTCGTACTGAACACAATACCTAAACAAAAACTCTGGTGATTTGAGAGGTGAGTGGATTCTAACTGTAATGCCTCTGATTGGCTGTTGCTTTTAAGTAAGTAACAGATATGTCTGTGATTGGCTACATTGTTCAACGCTGCAAAAACACGTTGAAATAGAAACCGATCTCCAGAGCGCAAACCATAAAGCACTGGATAGTTTGCCAAATCTGCAATGAAATGCCATTATTACAGCTTTAGCTGAGGGTGCTATTGATTTGGTTAGCACCCTCTAGCACCCCCACAGAACCGGGCCTGGTTTAGGCAGCAATGTTTAGACAGCCATACACAAGTATGCAAAAAATAAAAAATAAAGTAGGAGGGTTTTTGTTGTTTTTGTTTAACAGCTAGTGTTTAAACAGATTTGAATGTCCAATAACGCCAAGAAAATGTTCCAGTGTGCCGACTAATTCTGTTTAAATGGGCATCTCAGTAGGTTTTGAAACACAGCAAACATTCAAATGTGTCTAAGTAGGCAGCTAACAACATTTTTAAACAGCTAATATTGGAACATGTCCAAATGCCCAAAAATCATTAGATTTTTAAACAACTAATATGTGCATGTCCAATAAATCATTATCATGCGAATATTTGTGGTCGGTAAGACGGCTCACTAAAACACAGCCATACAATCAAACTTCCTCACGACATAACATTTTGTGGAGTCTCACTCTACTCATTCGATTGGACAAGCTCGTTCCTGTAGTAGTGGTTGGGAAACATCTGACTAAGATACTGAGCTCATTAACAGTGAACATTCAAACAAACGCAGAGTCCTAAAAGCCTGAGGTGGAATCTATTCTCCTGTCCATCAGCATTGGCACTGTTATTGAACCCAATGAACAATGACTGCAACACAATGCTCTCTCACCAGAGGACATCCTGATAAGCTGAACAAATGGACTCGGGCGAAACTCATAGTGCAAAGGCAAATATTTGCTGCGGCTGCAAACACACACACACACATACTGCAGTTTTAAAACCCTCATATATGCAGTGGGCACACTGCCCAAGGCAGCCCCCCATATATGGAGGTGGAATGGGGGGTTTTCCCCTGAGCGGGACGGGCCGGTGGCTTTGGAACAGGTAATGCAGTGTGCTGACTGCACTGCGCCAAGGAGAGAAAGAAAGAGGATGGAGGGAGGGTGGAAGAAAATGAGAGAAAGAGTGGGAGGGACAGACGTAGAGGGTTATGTACCCCACTGAGGAAACTCGATGAGAGGAAAATTCAGCCACTGCATCATTTCCCCATGCAGCTCTAATCACACACTGTTCAGCCCAGCTAAGAGCCTGGAGTGATTTTCGCCTATGGACATATTTTAATGTCCTTCCTTCCCCATCTCTCTCTCTCTCTCTGAGCTGATGAAACACTCAGGACAGATAAGGGCCAATTGGAAGTCTGGTGTGTGTATGCAGCAAATATATCACTCGGGCAATCAGTGCTCAACCGAACTGCAGCTCTGTTCTGCTCTCCTCAGCGTGAGCGGGGCGGCAGCACATGCCCTCACACGCTCACGACAAACTCTGCGCTCGGATCTGATGTAGCAGAATATATTTATCTAAAGAAAACTGTTCTTAGAGTTTGAGACACTAGTTTCCATGCACTTTCTTGTTCTTAGACAGGTAAAGTCTGTCTGACTGACAAACTCAACCCATCACTCGTTATGTTTTATCTGAAGTGTCAGTGCTGGTCTGTGTTGAAAACATTGAAGAAACCATTGGAAATGCGCATAGACTTTGCAATCAGAATTTCTGTTCATCCAAAAGTAATAACGCCACTGAAAAAGTGCTTAAACCAGCCTAAACTTGTGGTTTTAAAGGCTCAGGTAATGCTCACGATCCCAGCCAAGGGTAATAAGGTCTTGTCTAGCGAAACGATCTTACATTTTCTAAAAAAAAAATAAATAAATGTATATACTTTTTAATCACAAATGCTCGCCTTGCACTAGCTCTGCGATGTGAGAAATGACAGATTGTTTCACTAGATAAGGCTGTTATTCCTTGAATGGGTTCGCGTAGAGCCCTTTGAAGCTGCACTGAAAATGCAATTTGGACCTTCAACCTGTTGGTCCCCGTTGAAGTCCACTATACGGAGAAAAATCCTGGAAGGTTTTCTTCAAAAACCTTAAAGCGGGGGGGTCTAATGCTATTTCATGCATGTTGAGTTATTTATACTGCTAAAGAGTTGGATTCTCATGCTAAACATGGCCAAAGTTTCAAAAAACATTATGAATGTATAACGGAGTATTTCTGTGTCAAATATACTCCTTCCGGTTTTGTACAAGTTTTGAGGTTTTTTTTCAAGCTTGGCTCTCCATGACATAAAGAAGGGTGGAACTCCTTATATGGGCATTTCTCCTGGAAAAGCACGCCCATGCACACACATCGACCAGAGCGAGAGCAAGAGTGTGCCCATCAACGCGCTTCATTCGGCTGCACTGAACGGGACTCGCTCGAGAAGAATGTCTCCAAAGAAGTGTGGAAGAGCGCGCCCATCAATGCGCTTCATTCAGCAGCGCTGCACGGGACTCACTCAGGAAGAATGTCTCTAAAGAGATGTGTTTTTGGCTGTAAGGGAAAGATAACCTTGTTCAGCTTACCAAAGAACCCAGCGTTACGTGAACAGTGGATGTAGTTTGTTCTTCCGGGGCTGCAACGGAGTTTTGCAAGTGTGTTTGTTGACAAATGCTTTATAAACAAGGCCCAGTTCGATGCTGGATTTGCACATCGTTTGATACTGGAAGATGGAACGGTCCCAGCTATAAAAGATCCCGGTCATTATTCAGAACTGCAGACGGTAAGTGAAAC